GACTGATTGAACGGCTGATATAGTGTATTATTGTAGTGTTTGGGATTTGCTCCTCCCTCCTGCTGTTGGTTGTCAGGACTAAGTGCAGATCAAAGCCGTGCCCTGGTATAGGATCAGGGCCAGAGCCAGGCCATGTTGTCATTCACTCTGGGTTTATTTTAGTTCACCCTCTGGGTGGGGAACTCCAAATATTATGAAAGAAGGAAGTTGAGCAAGGCCCCTGACCAGTAGTCTGTGTGTTTCTGCTAACTCTGGGCCCTCATTAGAAGCACGTGTGGGCAGCACCCAGTCTTCAACTGTACCTGCCTGCCTATCTGGCGTGATTCCTGGAAGTATGGCCGTATGGCGTGTGTGTGCCCCATGCAAGGGGTCAGCTCTAGTGAGGGGGGTCAGGCAGAGAGACTGGCAGTAATTTTTTCCTAAACCCCAAGAGGATTACTTTGAGGGAGGAAATTCAAGTCAAGCTGTTACAGCAGTAATGACTCATGACAGTCTCGCCTCCCACATAGCCGGACCAAAAAGTCTGTTTTTGCAAAACCCTGCGTTCTTATTACAGTCATAAAAAATGCTGATAAAAATGTCTTACTAGATAGCATTTGTTGCAAAGCTTATTCCTAACAAAGCTCCTGTGTGGGGACGGTCTGAGATAAGTGCCAAACTCCACATAATAAGTCACCTAACACAGCAAGTTGTCAGCACGCTTGGCTTTATTGCCATCCTTACTGAAAGGCGCCGTTAAACTAACAATCACGGCTTTTACAGACCAAAGTGGCATCACGGCAATTTTTCTGACCAGGAGGAAAGGAAAAAGGTCAGGTCAGATTGTCCTTGTGTTGCTTCCACAGAGGCAGCGCTCCTTGCCTAATTACAGCATTACGCTTCACTCATCCTGTTACAAAACTCTTTTGTGTTTGTTTGTTTGACTCAAAGCGAAATCATAATGGTGCATTTTTTTCTGTGTTCAGACGCTTGAAAAGAGCTGCTTTCATCCAGGCTTCTCTTTACGTTGCCCTGGAGACAAATAACCGTTGAACATCGTCGCTGCAGAAATGCCCCCACTCACTGGAATGATACACCTCCTTCCCTCCCGCGCACCACACTGTATTCAAGTGGCCCATTAGCTATGCACTTTTATTTTACAGGTTTTTTACAGGATTTAAGTGTTTATGAGAACGGTGCATCTGTATGTGGTCTAACAGATCGTGCTTGACACTGTCAATAACTCAAGGTGGTAAAATATGTTTGCCAAGAAACAATTATCTGCTGTATCTCTCAATAATTCAAATTAGATTCAATTTATGCAAGATTAAAGCAATGTTATGTCTCTGTGTTTTTTTCCATAGGGAACCAGAGAGTGTCAGTGAGCAGTCTGCTGGTCTGTCATGGTCTGCTGCTGGTGGGGACCAACTTGGGGGTGACTGTGGCCCTCTCTGTCCCCAGACTGCAGGGGATCCCCAAGGTCACAGGTAACACTGAAACATTACTGTATCAAATGTACTTAAATATAGGCCTGGAGCTAAGGTTTATTTTTATCATGAATTAGACCAAGTGCTTGTCAAGCCAGCCAAGTACCTCCCTAACTAGCATAAAACATTTTTGGTAGAAAAAAATCCTATATAACGAGGTACACCAAAATTAGGTGAATCCCATTAAAACATATTCTTCTTGATACTGACAGTATTCTGTTGATTCCATTTTCACTTTATACTTTCACTTTTTACTTTGTATTTTCAGCTGTATTTCTGCTACGCTTCAACCACAAATTCATTTTCTTGACTTCTATTTGTTATTCAATATCAAGGCTGGCTTCCCCGTCACAGTGAATTAACGTAAACGTGATTGTGATTGTGTTTGTTGTGACAGTGGACAGTTTACTGCATGTAGTGATTCATTGAAAATTGGAAAATTGAATAGAAGTGTGGTTTATCAAACTTATATTAACATTTATTATTGAACGTATAGTATAATTATTTTAGAAAATTATGCTTTTTGAGATTACATTTTAATTAATATTACAAAAAAATCTCACATACTTCCTGCAGTACTCCAAATTACCTCTAGGGGTACCCTTACCCCCAACTTAGAAACACTCAGTATGTTTACATGCACAGTTAAGTTGAGCTAGGGTGTAGCTCGCCATTTACTTGGACTACTGTCCTTGTCCCAGTATACAGGTATGGGAGGGGAATTGATACATTGACTGAAGTATGTCTGACTCTGCTACGACAGGTGGCGATATATCCCCGTACAGCTTGTTAGTATTGGACCTTTCTCCAATTTACCTATTACATCACAGACCAAACAAGTTAGCTACGTTTAGCTAGCGGCAAACTGGTACCATGGTGGTCAACTTTACAGCTCTGTATATTTCGTCCTTCCAAAAATGCACAGCTCTGAATGTAAATTTCGCCAAGTTGTTACCAGCTTCTTCTTCTGTTACACATTTAATGCTTTCAACTTCCAGGTCAAAGCCCAGGGTGGACACTGACTGACTGTATACATGCAGGAGTAATTTGACTCCCAGTCGAATTATCTGCATGTGGTAATCCGACTTTGAGAAGTTCAATTTAATACGATTTCACTCGGACTTACATGGTTACATGTATTTAAAAAGTTTGGTTTTAGTAGGACTAGCACAACAAATCGATTTTCTCTGATGTCATGTAAACGTACTGACTGATTTTTTTCCAACCAAAAGGCTTAACCCAAAGATATAAATTTTATGATGTAATACAGAGAACATCAGCAAGTCAGACATTGCATCAGGGGCAAAACAGACATTTAAAAGTGTTGGGAATAACACTTTAAGTTGCCAGATATGTATACAGGTGATAAATGTCCACAAATATACACTGAATTGTGTAAAATGTCCTGGCTGAATATTAAAGTGGCTGTACCTGTTTTCAGGTCGTGGTATGGTGTCCTTACATGCTCACAGCGGTCCAGTCAAGTTCCTCAGCGTGGCCGCTGCAGTGTGTAACCGGCCCTCTGGCCTGTCATCCTCCACCCCTCCCACCTCAGTCCAGCCAACAGAGACAGATGAGGGGGAGAACACCCAGCCCCCCTCAGATTCAGCACCGACTCCCCCTCAGGGACGGGGTGTGTGGTTGGGAGAGGTGGGCTGCACTACAATGGCTCTCCAGGACTCCATGTCCTCTTCATCCTGCGGCTCCCTAGCACCATCCCAGGGCTCCTTGGAGCACGGGCCCGAGGATGGAGCCCTCTATGACATGCTCCATGACCCGGCCCATCACCAGAAGGGCCGTCGGACCAGCAAGGTGGATGTCAGCTCTTTACTGGTGGTGTCTGGCGGTTTGGGGCACCGCAAGGTCAACAAAAAGACCAAACAGTCTCGCCATGAGGACACCACCTCGACCATCATGATCTGGCAGATCCCCTTACTCAACATGTGACACCACAGGCACCTCGGTACGCTAAAAATAACATAAACATGTTAATCACCAGTAGAAAAAAGGGTCTTACATGTATTCTCTGTCTCTTTCAGGTTACAACAGAAGTGCTGCACACAACTCTCACAAGGATATTTGCCTTAACGGAATATTTGGGATCAATCAAAACTGAAACCAGAAGTGCATCAAGCACTCCACAATGCTCCAGCGATGTTTCTAATGATGTCTCCTACCATTGAAGTAAAGAAAGGATCAATATAACCACTCAATCATTAAGCTTGACGGAGCAAACAACACCCTGAGGATCAATTAAAGGATGTAATGTACTCATTAAGGATATACTTGTTTGAAATCACTGAACGGTCTTAATTTTCACCCCCTGACAAAGTTGGTTATTGTTCCGTAACATGGCTAATACATTACTCTCCAGTGTTTGACTGTAAAGGGCTGCAGTATTCAAATCAGTGTTGAGAACAAATGAGACTTGTCCTGCTTGAAAGGCGTATAAGGTAACGATGGGGCTTTGAGTCTGTTACATAAAAGTTTTATTAAGATTAGGATTAGGTTTTGGCCAGATCTTAGATCATCTGTCCAGGCCAGAGTTGTAAATATGAAGTATGACAACTCAGGATTACATGTGAATGAGTTTTAGGGTCAGAGAAAAGGCATGTGTTTATATGGAATCGAGTCTTTTCGCTATTGGACCAGCTCGGTGCTGCTACCATTCTGTTAACAGAGGAAAGTGATGGAGAAGGTGAAATACTGATGACTGAATTAGTTAGGGAAGGTTTGATGAGAATCTCTGGCTGGCCAGGTTTCTATTCATAAAGGGATGAAAGAGTTGTTATCACCAGGAGAGTTTTTCCCCCCAATCTGTCTTTTTGTCTCACATAAGGATATTTAAAAAAAGAAAAAAGCTTTATACTTTTGTCACAATTTGTACTTCTGTTATGTGTATTAACAAAATCATAAACTGTTTTACTGAGCATCCTTGTGTACTACTTTGTGAGTTTACGTCTGCACTTTTTACTGGAATATCCTCTTATCTGATCTTATCATCATTCAGTAGTTTTATTGAATTGATGATTCTCTTCCTGGGAAATAAACATCAACTTTACGGCAACATCTCCGCTATATTTGTGGCAAACTTCCAGCTGAACCAAATGCAAATGAGTTGGCATGTTCATAAAGCACCCATTACTGATTTAACCAAACAGTTAAATCATATTAAAAGATGCGGGAGGAAGACGTGTTAGTGTGTTCGATCTAACCTTGTACTTCTCCACTCTGCCTGTGAGCAGCCATCAGTGCATGCTGGGACTAGCAATGTGCCTGAGGGGCCGCAGGAACTGAGCCTGATACAGCTCTTCCGGGATTTCACTGCTCATTTCTCCTGCCGAACAGAGAGGGTCAAGGCTTTTTCTCTCATGAAACGCCCACTCCCACTGTTGCATAACCATATTTCACTATTGTCGGTTCTAGCAAAAATAGATAAGACGATCCCAGGTTGGAGATGTTCTCATGCTGCAATCCACGGCACCCTGGGCTGATCCCAAATATCATCCGATCTGATTATTTGCTAGTAAGTATGCTGACTTGAACCTAAGATAATATTTAACTTCTGTAACTGAATACTGGCTTGTATTTATTAACTACAAGTAAACTGCAGCAACGCCTTACTGTAGCAACCAAGTTACCCAGTTATCAGTTTGGCTGGGTGTTGTCGCATATTTACACAGCTCTGCAACTGGAAGTCTTTTGTTTTTCCCTCTGACCCTGATGTTTCTACGGAGACCTCTCATTTTGTGTATCAGTCCTCGCTGAGTCTTTGTTTTCAGAATAACTGGCATTAAAACCTTCCCAGCTGAATGCCCTCTAATCTCCCAGGGCTGATAGTTGTGCGATGCCCTTGCGGTGGCTCCTCTCTATTTTTATATCTGAAGGCCAGTTGTTAAGACACGCAGTCTCCACGGCAGAGAGGTCACAGGCCCTGGGTGAAAACGTGTGTTGCTGCTGCTACACTATTTCTAATCAGGCCTTTTCACATGTTGAGTGCACTGGCCTTGTGTTCCTTATTTATCACTGTAGAAACTCTGAGGATACTTTTCCATATGAATCACATTATTAAAGCTTCTACTACACAAATATGCTGCATTTTGATTGTATGCGTATGTATCTCGTACGTAGGAGTTGGTCAGAAATGATGTTGGGTCGTTTCCAAAATGGAAATATGACTCATATTTTCAGGGCATTGTTAAGCTGTCTTGGGGTTGCCTGAAGTTTACACTCACAGTTTACTTTAGAGAGCAATCTGTCAGTGCTGCAGATTGTGATAAACTGGCCCATGCACACACAGTCTACTAATGGAACATTTATTAATTTTAGAATAGTGTTAGTGTTATATAAAATCCCTTTGGGGGCTCAGAGAGTCTTGTGTTTAATTTTATTTTGATGTGTGCCAGTGTCATTCTTTATATATAAGGGCATGCTTTTTTATAATAAAGGTTGGTTTGGTGTGTATGTGTGTAAGCAGAGGGAGGGGAGAGGGATTTTCCCCATATTTAATCCCCTAACCCCCCCCCACCCATAGTGGTACCCAGGATTGGGATGACGGGTAAAGGCATGTCGCATCTCTGGGATGCGTCCTTTGCGCGCACAACAGATGGAGCCTCCTGCTGTTGAGTGTAGGGTTAATACCGACGGAAGGGGGCGTGGTTTAGATCAATGATGACCGCCTCACTGTAGTCAATTTTTAAAAAAAAAAAAAAAAAAAAAAGACAACAAAAATCAGAGTCCGAGATCTCCAGTAGTACCTCCGCTGCCCACGCTGGACAGCTCCAGCTTCCCGGAGGAAGACGCAGCTGACCGTGCGCAGTAGCTCCCCGCCTCTTACACCGGAGGAAATTAGTTGGCGACGCGCTGATCAGAAGGAGGTGCGACCTGAAATGACTGTTTGATCGTCCCTTCGCCTGCCTCGCCTCCACCGCCACCACTAAAAAACCCCCGTGGAGGTTTGTCAGAGCGGGAGCGGATGAAACAACCAGTTGAGAGAGAGAGAGGGGTCGATGGAGAGAAGGTGAACGGATGGGATAAAGCAGCTGGATTTATATCGGTGAAGTAAACTCGCGCAGGAGAGCACAGCCTGGCTGGTTCATCAGGATTGCGACTGCCTTACGTAACTGAGCTTTGTGGAGGGACTGGCAGAGAAACTGCTGGTGCCGAGCTGTTAAATCACAGCGGGGAAACGCAGGTAGGTCACATTGCACTGTTAATAGACATAAATGCTTATATATGGATAATAATTTGTTTAAATTACCTATCTACTGCTCCTTGATTCGAATAAATGAGCTTTGTCCGACATTGTCTGAGAACGTCTTAAACAACAGACATGAGTTTTCATATGATTTCAAACGCCCTTTCTCAGTCATATTAGAGATTAATTCCTCCATCAGCGCAACACCATTTGCGCATGCGCTCTGAATGCCTCCAGATTACCACAAATAATGGACAGACAGGGTGATTATTGCAGTAGGTCATGCTGTATGCAGCCACAAGAAGCTGTATGTTGGGATTGCTTCCGTTTCCTTGTTAAGCTGTAGATGTTTTTACATCAGACAGTGCAGCTGCAGTTGGTTTGAATGAAGTGATGACAAATTAATGCTGATGTGTATTACACAGCAGAGTTGGCAATGGCAGCGCAAAGTAATTTTTTCCTGTAAATTTCAAGGTTTCCAAGCTGTTTGTTATTAGAGAAAGGGCGCCCCTTAGAGAATAAAGAGGTATTTGCAGCCTGAAGACTCCCTTTTCCCCCTCCTCCTTTGGGCCTGGTTAAACTCCCTTCTTATTTCCCCCTCATGCAGGTAATCACAAGTTCGTCCACTCTTCTTCCACTCAGCATGATCGGTGAAGACGCTGTCCCCCATCACCAGTGAGCACGTCAGGATGAACGAGGGTTGCAGGCAGGGAGGAGGGACAATCACTGTGGAGGCTGATGTCATCCTCCATGCCGTGAACCCTGACCTTGTCACACCATCTGACAAGGATGGAAATTTATGTCAAGGTTACGTCCAAGGATTTCTGCAGGACAATCAGGATTTCAGCCCCCCTCCAGCATTCGAGAAGGAATACCTGCTGGATGGAAGACTGATGGAGAATAATCACATAGACCACCAGAAAGGCAACGGCTCGTACATCTCGAGAGGTGATCACCTCTCCAATGATAAGGGAGCTCCGGATGTCCCTCGTCATGCTGACACTGCTGTGTCCAATCACATTGCTGGCATGCAACAAAACTGTGCAAGCAGTGAGATCCACAATGGCGCCAGAGCTAAAGTGTCTTACAGTGCAGATTCCTCCGTGAGCTCGCCCAGCCAAGCCAAACAGGAAACGGATTGGTCAGTCCCAAAATCGAACCTCGAGTGCAGGGACAGCAGCCAGGAAGCTGAGAATACTCAGTCTCAGAAAGAGCCTGATTTAGTCATCGAAGTCGGCGGGCAGACGATTAGCGCTCACAAGGCTGTCCTGGCAGAGAAAAGTGACTACTTCAAAGCACGTCTGTCACGAGACATCCTGAAAGTGAAGGGAGTGAGTTACAAGACTCTGTCTACTTTAATAGACTATGTTTACACTTCTAAGATGAATGTTTCCAAGGGCAACGTTGTAGATGTCATCACAGGGGCTAAAATCCTCCAGATCCCCTGCGCTGTCCAGGCGGCCATGGACTCCATGTCCGAACAGATCACTCCAGAGAACTGCTACGAGATCCTGACCATCGCCAAGAAGCAGCGACTTAGCGAACTGAAGGAGACTGCCTATGGATTCATGAGCGACAACTTCCTCCAGATCCTAAAGGACCCCGCCGTGTACGGGCGACTGAATGGGTCTGAGCGGGATCTGATCCTAAAGAAGAGAATGGAGGGGAGGCAGACTCTGATGGTGGCAGAGATAAATGATGTGTTTGATCGCGTTGGGAGCCGACCGCCGAGCCGCTGCGGCAGCCGACCACAGAGCCCGTTGTCGGTTGGGTCCTTGGAGGAGAGTCATATGATTTGCTACTTTAACGAAACAGCAAATGACTGGAGACCTTTAACTGCAATGCCTGAGGACATAAACACTAAAGGGTGCGGGATCTGCACCATGTATAACTACCTGTTTGTGGCGGGGGGGATAAAGGGCTACGGGGACAAGGGCAAGGTTTCAGACAAGGTCTTCTGTTACAACCCCATAACCAACCGCTGGTCTGAGGTCAGACCTCTGACCCAAGCTCGTGCCCAGATAAAGCTTGTGTCGATGGATGGCTACTTGTACGCCATTGGAGGGGAATGTTTGTTTACAGTGGAAAAATATGACCCTCGCATGGATCGCTGGACCACGGTCGCCCCTTTGCCCAAGGGAGCCTTTGCAGTGGCTCATGAAGCCACAACCTGCGGCGGAGAACTTTATGTTTCAGGAGGCTCACTCTTCTACCGCCTTCTGAAGTATGACACCAAGAGGGACGAATGGCAGGAGTGCCCCTACAACAACAGCAGGAAGAAGTCAACTGACATGGTGGCTTTCAAAAGCTTCATTTACCGCTTTGACGTCAACCGCGAGCAGGGGATCACCGTCTTTAAGTACAACAGCATAGTGAAAATGTGGCACGATTGCGCATCACAGAGGCTTGGAAGTCACTTACCCTTCAGGTGCGCCGTGATCGGGAACTGCATCTACTGTGTGAACAAAAGCCAGACTCTTCAGTTTGTGGTGGAGGAGGAGAACGCCTACTTTGTCGAGGAAGCGCTGAGGGCGCCTCTGGAGGCGAAAGGCGTTCTTTTTCCTTTTGTTCTCACTTTGCCTGAAAAGCCTGAAAAAGTTACATAGTGTGTGTGTGCTTGTGTGCGTGTGTGTGTGGTCCAGAATAACACAATGTGTCATAGCGAAACTGGAATAAGCAGAAGACCTTGTGCACACTCTTCAATGTCAGCTTTCTATCTCAGTGTCTCATTGCCTGCTTTCAATGGAATGTGTGTATTTTGCATGGCGATTTAACGTGTCTGCAGGGTCAAGCCTTAAAAGGAAAACTTTTTTTTTTTTAGAGTTGAATGAATGCAACAATATTTGTATCTGACTGTAGATAAGGACATGCTGACAGTGACTGTAGGTTATTTTGTGTATTTCCTGTGTTCAGTTTGGTTTGGTGCACTTTTGTATTTACAGTAGATATTATTTAGAACATAGCTGACAGGTGACTTTGGTAACAAAAACAAGTGTTTTGTTGAAAGTTGTACAAAAAAAAAGAGTGGAAGCAGTCGTAGTGCGCTTTATGGATGATGCAACACAGGTTCTATGCAAATGAGACAATATACAGATGGGTCTGCTGTAATACTATGTAATAGTTACTATAATGGGAACTGACTTGGAAGGAATACAGTATTTTTCAAACAAGGGCTGCAACTAATGAGTATTTTCATAATTTGTTGGTCAACAAAATGTCAGATAATAATGAAAAATTGCTCTAATAACTATCCACACTCCAAGAAGACACATTTAAAGGTATGCTGTGCAGGATGTTCCTTAAAAATAACAATGTGTGAGCTAAAGTAATCACTCTCAGTCATCACTTAGGACCCATTTTAAGTGTGTGGTGGTGTATTAATCTACAGAAACTCTGCTCTCTGCCTGTGTTTTCTTATTCCTTATTATTTTGCTGTGCTTGGGACATTCTTAGGCACAGTGCTCAAGTGAAGTTGGGACTAAATAAACCAGGTGTCAGACTGTAAGAGGAAGCTATTAAAGTCACTCTCACTTTTGCTGGCCATACTGTTGACAAATGGTAGCCAACAATGGGGGGGCTGGAGCCTATCCCAGCCGACACTGGGCTGGAGGCGTGGTACACCCTGGACAGGTCGCCAGACTATCACAGGGCTGACACATAGAAACAGACAACCATTCACACTTGCGGGCTATTTAGAGTCACCAATTAACCTGCATGTCTTTGGATTGTGGGAGGAAGCCGGAGCACCCAGAGAAAACTCACGCTGACACAGGTCAGGTTTGAACCAGAAACCTTGCTGTGAGGGAACAACACTAACCACTGCACCACCAAGCCACCACAATTCTTGCATAGTATACCTTAAAGTGTCTTGTTATGTACAATCAAAAGTCCAAAACCCAAAGATATTTGATTTACTATTATTAAAGGTAAGGAAAGCCTCAAATCCTCTTATTTAAAAAATGGAGACAGCAAATGTTTGACATGTTTGCTAGAAAAAATTATTATAATGATGAATTGATTATCAAAGTAGTTGCAGATAATTCTATGTTGTTGAAGTGATCGTTGCAGCTCTACCTCGAAACCTGATCTGCACTGGCTTTGAATTAAACCTGTGAATCAAGGTCAAATTATAATCAGTAAAAACTGAAATAGAAACTGTATCAGTCGTGTACCACCCAAATATTCCCTTTGCAAAGCATTTAAACAGCTTGTTGTACCTGTCGTAATTCAGGGGACCTTTTTCAGTCAAAGCAAACTCCTCATTTTTACTCCTCTGGAAGCTAAAACCAATCTTGTCAGAGATATAAAACAATATGTTTCAGATCTGTTTAAATCGTAATTGCAGATTTAGATAAAAGAACAGAAATAACATTTATTTTTAGATTCAGAATGTGCTATCTTGCTTATAGTACATACTCACGGGTGTCACAATTCCTTCATTTAGCTCGCTTGCCAAAGATAAATAACAATTCAGTCAGGCTAAAATGAAACTGTCACTTTTACATCTTTTGTGGATTAAGTTCAGTATAAAAAGAGTCCCTCTGACTGCACCACAGTAAAGATAAGAAACTAAAGCAATAGTCGTTTTTCTCAGAGGAAGGAGCATCACGTTTGCTGCTAACAGGCACTTTCTGGGAAGTAAAGGGAAAGCCAGCCATTCAGAATACACAGAGATGCATCTCTTATCTGCCTCTCCCTGTATGTGTTGAAGGAAACAGCAGCAGACTCATGTTCAAGTGCAAGCAGATTTCTTCACTGGCTGGGCCAAAGGTCAAAGCAGATAGTCCAGTGTTTCAGCGAGGTCAGGTTGTGACTCCTACTGTGTCCACAAACAAGATATCCTGCTGTCATGACACTAACAAACCATGCTCGTCTTGTATCAAAGCACATTGTACTCTAAATTTCCTTCTTTCAGACATTTCACATTATTTGTTTGCTGCTGCAACGACACAGTGGGAGTTTTGTACGGAAGCTAATGCTGATGTATTCTTGGAACAAATTGCTTTTTAATAACGTTTCTAGAGATGTCTCCAGGCAGTGACTAAGACAATATGGATGTGGTTTTGATATTTCGCTGGCTGTATTTTTGTGAATTTTGTATGGATTTGGTAGTTTTGGATTTGCTGCTGTGATGGACAGTGAAGTGATGCAATGTTAGGCAGTGGCTTCCTGTTCAAGGCATATGGAGTGGGCTAACAAATTAGCTGTTGGATAATGTATATCAGTCACAACTAAGTGCTTCAAATAAAATATTTTGTGTCGGAAAATGATCTGGTTTTCTGAATGTGTCTTCAGCATTGTGGGGAAGCGATGTGTTCTTTTGGCTTGTCTGCCAGACATGAAACAGACCTGCCATCTAGTGGATAAAGACCGTAACAGCACCCTGGATTACTGCTGTGCAGACATGACCTCATGCCCAACAAAACTTAGTTGACCGTATTTTGCTTGCTAACAAATGTACAGTAATATTGTCATATTTATATAAGTATAACTTAAAGGGAATTTCCATGTCTCTATAAGTTTAGGCCAATGTGAGCATCACTACGATGATTTCAGCCCGGCTATGTGTGTATTCACACATTTCAATCACCTCCAACTTTTATTTTCTTTGCTGTTTTTATTAATTATTATTTAGTGTCTTATAACTCTGTTTTATATCAGAATTATGGGATTTTGTGAGTTTGTATACTCTAAATCTCGTAATATGAGAATATAGAGAACACTGCACAATTATAAGAATATTTCTCACACCTTATAATTATGACAGTTCATCTCATAGTGATGAGATCATTATAATATTTATATAATAAGTCATTATATTAGTCATAATTATAATGACTTATTAAACAATTCTCTGAATTATGACGGACAGTCTCACTGCGTGGAAAAAAGAGAATAAAATCTATTCATGCCATATAAGTCAGACCAAAATGTTGCTTTTTTTTTTAGCTATAGCTCCCAGTAATTAGAGCAATATTTAATGTGCAAATAATTCTTCCATCCTATCATTAAAGACTTAAACTGCTCCAAATGTTGAGGAAACACCTTGATGCAATGCTAAACTTTTATCACTGGAGGGTGGTGTTTCCCTGCTATATGAAAGGTATCCGCTGCAGTAGAACTCAAATAGTTCAGTCACTTTACTGAGTTAAGGTGAAAATGGAGCTTCATTTTCACTTTACAGACAGGCAAAGGTCAATATTTGAGGCCTTTCAATTCCAGTTGTTAGGGTGACACACTTGGATAGCAGGTACACAGTAATGTAAGGAGTGAGAAGTCATGAACAGATACAGTACAACAAAATATGATAATATGAAAAAGTAATGCAATAGAAAATCACTGTAGACATGGCTACAATGTAATTATTTGTTGTTAGTAGCTGCATTAACTGTATATTATGTCTGTATTCACAAAGACATAGACAGATATGTTGATGGCTGTGTTGAACAAAGTTGTATGTTGTACTGTAGCTACAAAGGTTAGAATGAGACATATGGCACTTTTTTTTATCCCTGCGTCTGTGAAAGAGTTAAGTGAGGGAACTGTATTTTAAAAGAATACTTCACCCACAGAATTATCATTTGTATATTAATCACTCACCCTGTGTTACCTTGAGTTTGTGAAATAAACTGTTTTTTCCACATCCCTCTACAGTGAATGAAGAATCCAAAAACTGAGAAATTTCTTGATGAATTGGCTTGAAAGGGGGGCTGCATTTATAACAACAGCGCAAACTTATATAAAAAAAATGTTTACAAACTCTCACATGACAGAATAATCCAGTGCAATGTAATAACAGAGTTCAATTCAATTCAATAGAACTTTATTTATCCTGAAGGAAATTCTTGTTACAGTAACACTAAGTACAGTAACCACAATTTAACGTTCACAACCACTAACAACCAGAACAACCAGTGGGCTCCCCGGGTCAGGGTCACACACTGGGCCCAGTTTGTCCCTTGGCAAGGCACACACTTGCTATGGGCTGTACTCATATGAGGAAGTGTTTTAAATGGTAAGGTTTTAGCAAAAATGCATGTGTCTGGGAAGCACTGAGCATAAGACTGAATAAATGAGCCTTGAATTATACTGAACCAGCTGTGTTAGTTTGTAAACGGATGTTGTGATATAATTTTGCTGTGGTTAAATGTGGACCCCTGTGACTTCAGTTCATAAAGACTCTTCATTTTTGATTCTTTATGATTTCAACGTAACACGTTGTGAATAACTGATATACAAATGATCATTTTGTGGGTGTAGTATTCCTTAAAAGCAAAACATTGTAACTTTTGCTAACAGCGGCCACTGTGGCCACAGGTGGAAATTACAGGATAATGGTACATGAAATATTCCTTCATCAGGGTCAGTTGCTTCAGAGATCATCATTAGGTGACCTGACTGGGAGCATGTGGAGTGGGACCACAAGCAGGAAAAAAACATGTCTCTATGGTGAGTTCACTTCTTGTTTTACTTTTGTGTGGTAAAACAACTGTGACATGATAGAAAATGGTGCTTCAGGAGCACAGCACTGATCCAGTGAAGTCAGTTATACAGTAGTATCTGTCGAGTGTTTACTGAAAACATAAGCTGATGATCACACCATGGCTGTAGCAACCAAACTCCTCAGTGCATGAACTGAGAAAGGATGATTTTTATCACTCATCAAATCACCTTTTAGTTTGTAAGGAGGGAGATTGTGTGGTTGTATAGTTGTGCTTTAGTGAAGTTTTTCTTAGATGTGACATATCATATCTGTAACTACTGAAGTGACACAAAACATTTAATTAACATCAGTTCCCAATGAGTTACAGCATACATAGCAATTACATGTATCAATGTAACCCTTATTCATTTCTATGAAATTTAATTCTATGATATAGGCTAGATTTTGTCTTTCATTCATCAGCCTACATCCTAATTTAGGCTAATATTGCTCATATACTATACAGCACTGTGTGACCTGTAACTACGATCCAGATTTGACCCATTACAGTATGTGGACATCAGTGCAGTTTAGGCAATCATCTAATATAAAGTGACCATGTAACAGAAACTATGTGTAATGCTGTAGATAAACAGACATTTGTCTTAGAGGCAGTGGTGCAAAAGGAAGGTGACATCAAGTAACATCTTACTGAACAGTAAGAAAAAAATAAAAGGGTGGAGGTAGGTTTTCAAACAATACATACAGTGTAACAGCTACTACTTTGTATAGTAGGAGACTACATGCCAGTATAATGAGACTGCTCTACTGCTTGAGGGCAAATGCATGTTGAAAACTGTGTTGTTTTTTCTACAGTACAATCAATACAAAATAACAAACCCTTCATTTTCATCACAGCCCGTCCAAACAAATCATGATCTCAGCGACCGGAACATGAAAAAAAATACACACTTTTATCGAGGAATGGTGAGAATGTTGTGAATACCTTTGCATATTTTCACACAGTCAATGAGCCAACACAGCAGAAAGATATCATTCTGCATTTGAATTTTGTTTGTGGTGCTAAGCATTTAAAAATTACCCCATGTCTTTGCAGAAACAACGTACTGGTCAGGGTTATCCACTGTCCTTAATGTGAACAACCTTTATGGGAACTTATTGAGCAGATTTTTCAGTGTGTAGTTGTTTTGTGGTTTACCTACCCGGAGTAGGATGTTGTGCCAAATA